CGTGCTCTCAGCGTGCCGGATGTAAATGAACTCCCACTCCATCGCTTCCTTCAGCACCTCCCAGTTATTGAAGTTGCTCCTCATGTATTCCATAAATAAAGCCATCTTACTGGCGGTGATGTCGTGAGTATCTTGCCTTGTCACCTGCAGCCCGATAAACGTAATTACCCTCTCGGCGCTGCTCTGGCCACCGGTGGGAGTAGCGCGGGCCCGCCCGGATTTCTTCTTGGCAGCTGCTGCCCGCTGCACCTCGGCCACGTAGAACGCATCCAGCACGGGGAAAAGGCGTGTGTCGGGGATATACAGAACACCGGGTTCAAGGCCAACCTTCTGTATTACGGTGTTCCGAGCCCCTTCCGTCGTGTACTCGAGCAAGCGGGGCCTGCTTGGAAAGCGACCTCGTGCGTGCTCGTCCGCCAACACGCTGGCCCGCGGTTCTCCCCCCGCAGTGCGGGGAATGTACTTCATCTTGCGGGCAACCGCCTCGACGACGCCGCCGATCAGAAACGCCAAGCAGCCCAAGCGCTCAAGATCGGCAGCGGCACCAAAACAGCACGTTCCCAGGGCGGACAGCAAAGCCGACATCTGAAATCTCTCCGCTAGCACGAGCCGCCGCAATCCTGCTTCGATCTCAAATGAAGCAGGAACATTTCTGGAGCTTTCCCCCTCCACCCTCCACTGCTCCCTCCCCGCCACCCCCAACACACGCACAAGCTTGAGCAGTCTGTGCGTTGTCCGGTCCTCCCGCCACTCAACCCTGCCGAACAAAATCCTCGCGAAATCCTCCCATTCCGCCTCAGTCCTAAGGAGCAGCACAGCTTCAATTGCATTCCACTGTTTTAAGTAAGAGGTGTCGTCGAAAACATATCGAGGGAATGGTCCAACCTCATACATGCGTCGCTTCACCTTATTATCCCACTCCTCAAGGGCCTTTCTTCTTCTTTCGCTTCCGTGCGAGTCGCGGAGCGAGTCGCGTACCTGCCACGCATAAAACGCCTTCAGCTCTCGTGGAGTGTAGCAGTTGACATAAATGTAAAATGCACCCCGTTGTTTCTCCCACTCCTCATAGTTGCTTTTATCAGGCGAGCTCAACACAACTCCGCCCCAATGTTCATTGGGCAGCCTATGTGGGGGAGGAAGTCCCTTAGTCACATCAAAAATAAAGTAGCCCGCAATTTGCTTTTCAGCCAATGCCTCGATGACCAACGCACCCTGATCAGTGTTTGTGTATTTCACCACGGTCCTTGCATTGTTCCCCGTCTTGCGAAAAAGGTACATTGACTCATTCACAAAGTAGGCCACCAAAGGGACCTTGGCGGCGTCGTAGTGCAGGAGCTGGTGCAGCACGAAGGACCCTACCGCCAGCGACTTGCCGATGCCGGGCGTTCCAACCACAACGTACGACCGCCTCAAGGAAGTGCTGC